AGAGGATCTTATAAGACATTTATTCCAGTTTTTGAAACTACCCTTATATTCTCTATGATGAAAAAAGCCTATTAAAAAGGTAAACGAACATCTTATCCGGCCTATGCATTGACTTAACAAAAAAAAAGATTCTCGTCCGGTCAAATTAGTCATAAAAATAGTGGTCAAATAACAAAAATTCCAACAGAGCTAAATTTTGGTGGAGACCTTGGGTACACCATTAGAAATAAAGTGTCAAAAGTCCCCATCGATCCCATGTGTGCTAAAAAAGTTCTTCGGGGTCAAAGGTCAAAATTTGATGTTTTTTGGGTTCCTTTTGAAAACGGTAAGTTTTATCAAAAAAGTAGTCCAGACAAAAAAGATAGACCTTAAAATTATCTACAAAAAAGGTCCTTCTACTTTTTTTCCTAAGAACCACCATTGCTGAGATATCGCGATTTTAAAAGTTGAAGGAGTCACTTTCTATATGATATGCACATATACATAGTGCGCCAGAACTTACGCCCCCCAAAAAAATGCGATGTAGGGTAAGGTATCAGGAACATGAAAAAAATTAAAAAAAAAATCTATTTATAAAAATTTCGTAGTTATGAGAGTTTAAATTTAAAACTTTGCCTTTATTTCTTTCTGTTGGAAAAACAATTTCCCAAGTTTTTTTGCTTCAGGCTATTAGAAGAGGAATCAAGGAAGCTGTATCCTAAATTGTAACTCTGTTCAATGTTATTTGTGGCTTTCATTGACAAAATTTTTGTACATTTAGTAAATAATTATAAAAAAACATATACAAGTTCATCAGTATCATTAAATAAACATAAAAATGTCAAATGTCAAAAAATAAATGTCACCATTTTTTGACAGATAGAATTTTTTAAACATTTTTTCCATGTTTCTGGTATCTTATCTTACTTGAAATTTTTCTTCTACTTCATTAAACTTATAAATATCTCGATTCCAATAGAATTAAAAAGAATTTATTTGGTAATACWTACAGGTGTCCAAAAAATCYCGRATTTCCTTGAAAGGGAGTAATTGGGTAGTCTCCAGAGTACTAAAAAAATGTTGAAAAAATTCTATCTGTCAAAAAATTTTGACATTTATTTTTTGACATTTATCTATCTATATCTCAGCAATGGTGATTCTTAGAAAAGAAAGTATAAGGACCTTTTATGTAGATAATTTTAAGGTCCATCTTTTTAGTCAGGACTACTTTTTTGATAAAACTTACCATTTTCGAAGGAAATCCATAAAACCTCAAATTGTGACCTTTGACCCCGAATAACTTTTTTAGCACACATGGGATCGATGGGGACTTTTGACACTTTATTTCTAATGGTGTACCCAAGGTCTCCACCAAAATTTAGCTCTGTCGGAATTTTTGTTATTTGAAATGTCTATTTTGACCGGACTAACGTCCGTGGATCAAAAATAAAATTTTAGAATTTCTTTTCTCGCGCTCTTACTTAGAATTGCGTGATAACTGTACCACAGAAAAAATATTTGCCAAAAGATCTCAAAACTATATTATAAAGCTTCAAAATGTTTTTATATTTCGATGAGTTACAGCCTTTCAAAAAATTTAGGAAAATTTTTTGTTCCTTTAATTATTCAATTATTCCTTAATTTCAAAATTGTTTTAAACGTAAAATTGTAAAATGTACAGTTGTCTACCAACGTAATGTGTGCCACGTTGATTGTGCAGTCAATTGTACAAATTTAGTTCAGTTGTTAAACATAAGTGGACTAAGGTGTTTTGATGACGTAATAATTAATAAAAAAATTGTTATAACATTTGAATAATTCGATTCGATACGAAAAAATGTGGTGTTTGTCACGTAGAAAAATTTGAAGAAGCCAAAGGTTTGGTATTAATTTCTGAATGACTCTTTCTGTGCAATAAATAATAATAAAGGTTATTAGCGACTGGACCACAATCACAATCTAAATATAAAACCAGACGCTTTAAATTGCTGGGATAGACTGCGTTGATGATGATATCGAATGAAATTAGATGGAAAATAACAATTTAGATGTGTGCATGGGCGTAAATTCGGTAATGGAAGGAATTTCGAGTATGTCATGGCCGTGTATGAAATAAACTTTCATTTAGTGGCTGTTTTTTCATTTATTTTAAATGCAGTCGGAAAAATAAACTAATGATGTCCAAAAATATACAGGGTGCACCAGAACTCGCGCCCCAGAGAAAAAATTCAAGTAAGATAAGATACCAGGAACATGAAAAAAATGTTTTAAAAATTCCATCTGTCAAAAAATTTTGACATTAATTTTTTTTGACATTTGACATTTTTTATGTCTATATAATGATACTGATGATCAAGTTTATGTTTTTTTATAATTATTTAGTAAAAGTACAAAAATTTTGCCAATAAAAGCCACAAATAACATTAAACAGAGAATAGCTCCTTGTATTCTCTTCTAATAGCCTGTAACAAAAAAACTTGTAAAATTATTTTTCCAACAGAAATAAGTACTCAAAGTGCAAAATTTAAACTTTCATTTTTATAGATAGAATTTTTTTCCATGTTCTTGGTATCTTACCTTACATGCCATTTTTCTCTGGGCCGCGAATTCTGGTGCACCCTGTATATACAGCGTGATTTCTAAAAAAACTGCAGGGACTGTAGAAATTTTATTTATGGCTGGATATCAAAAATTAAAGAATAAATTAAATGGCTTTTCATATAGTAGGTATAGGACAATTTTAATTTTTTTCTAAATGTCATAGTAAATTTTGGGCTATATCCAACTTTCTAATTTCAAAGTGGAACCGATTGTTTTTTCTTTATAATTTGGAAGTTTTCTTAGTACACACTTTTACTTACTAGAAAATATTGTTTAAAAAAATTATCAAAATTAAAAAAAGTAAATAAAATCTAGTTGCTAGTTGTCAATGCCATTACTGTAATATCAAAAAGCAGCAAATGAAAGAAAATATTCCCAATATTTTTTCAAATTTTTAATAAGAAATGACAGTAATAATTACCTATAACAAAATAGAAAAACATGTAATTATGTCTGATTAATTTATTTAATTATTTATTTTGTTTACTTTTAATAAGATTATTGTTAACGTTAATTCTTTTATTGACACCATACAACTAGATTTTATTAACTTATTTCATTAAATTTTGTTGATAATTTTTTTAAACAATAATTTGTAGTAAAAGTGGAACATATTGCACAAGTCTGTTTCAACTTTCACAACTAATACCTTCCAAATTATAAAAAAATTGGGTTCCTATTTAAAATTTGGATATACCGTAAAATAAGACATTTAGAAAAATTCTAAAATTGTCATTTAATAATTTTTTTAATCGGGCCATAAATAAAAATTCTACAGCCCCTGTCGTATTTTATCACCCTGTAGGTAAGTTGTAATTTTTAATTTTATATTTTTGTAAAACAACTAAAATACGTCAAAACAACTATCATGAAAACAGGTAATATTTTTTATTTGTTTATACTAAATGTGTTAAAAACGATTTATTAAATTGCAGTGAAACATTTTTCAAATTTCTATCACTTGTTTTGTATTTTTCGGTGGGATTTAAACCTACACAAAATCCAGTAAGTCTCGTAAAAAGTAGAAAGTTTGGCTTTTTACATAACACAAGATTTTTTACTTTCACCTGAAAAACTCCTAATTCTTGATCAAAGTTTAACAGCGCCTTTCATGTCGTGATTCGGGTAAATGTTGAATGAAAAACATTTCAAAGCACTTTCATTGGTGCAAAGTTCAAGTCTGTCTCAAATTGAAATAAATTGAAATTAATTACCTAACGATATGCCAACTTGGTACAATAAATAACAAAGAAAAACACAACTTGTTTCATCTTGTAATTAGTGAAATAATTGGTTCAGTAAAGGATTTCGCCTAAGGGAAGGTTGATCTCAAAAAGTTTCATTAATCTTGCAATGTCGACAACACGGATTTACATCATAATATTTGGACTTACTTTCTTAACGGTGCAATTTAAATGAACGATGTTTGCCTCATCGGAAGGTTGCTGGACTCCTGACTTCTCCGACATGAGCATCCAACCTGAAAAATTGAAAAAAATCACAACTAATTTGAGTGAAAACAAAATATGTTCCTGAAAATGAAGTCTAATTGGACATAAAAACGGCACTAAAAAAGATAATTAGCGTTGCTCGTAAACTGTAACTGTAAAAAGCCATAAATTTGTGCGTCTTTTGTTTCACAATATTTCGTGTTGACTCGAGATTTATTTAATCTTCTTTTGAAACATTTTATTTAATCCGAATTTATGAAATATGTTAATAAAGCTCATGACAAGCTTCATAAATTTTATGTTTCCGTTTCCGGGACCGAATTTTACATCAATAATGTACCAATTCAGATTCGAGAAACAGATTTTTATCTGACAAGTCATAAACACGTCAGGAGCCATTTTGGTTCCTGTTCAGTGACCCATCATCGACATTTAGAAAATATAATTATTAAAATTCAAGTAATTTAAAAACGAACGAAATTTTTTGTTTTTGAGTTATGCGATTTTTTTATCAAAATTGCAATTTATGTAAAACAAAATTTAAGTTAAATATAAAGTAAATAGTTGTAACCCCTAGATTATAACCTTTTGAGAAAAATGGTTTTAT